CCATCAGATGCTCCCAGGGAGAAGGAGGGGCAATCTCTCTCTCTTTTTTTCCTCTTGTGCGCTTAAAAGCCTCTACAAACTCACCTGAGGGTCAGCTCCACCTCGGTGGCAATGACATTTGTTTTGTTTTGGTTTTCATTTGTAAGAACCAAAGGTTTTCTGTCTGAGTAACCCTCTATGCTTGGTCTACATACATAATTTGTTACAGCAGCTGTTAAAAACTAATGCAACAGCTGAGCGCGGGTCTCAAGAGAGCCAGCAAAAGAAGGGAGCTCTGGTGGCCTAGTGGCAAGAAGCTATGCTGCAATCCCAGAGGTGCGTGGTTCAAATCCACCAGATGCTTGCTCTGCTGGAGAAGGAGGGGCAATCTCCTCTGTACTAGTCAGATCCAACTGAACAGTACACACACACAAAATAATGATTTTTTTTTTTTAAAAAAGGGACAGCAAAAGAACATGTGCACTTGTACTGTGGTACTGGCAAAAGAGGTCAGACAGATCAAGAGCTGGCCGAAGAACGAAGAAAATGGTCTTAGAAGCACTAGAACCAGCAGGTTCCCTCATAGGGTGGGGACACTTTCTCTCCCTTGCTTGGACGTGCCACGAGGACAGAGGTATCACTAGGAAAGGACGTCAAGTCTGGTAAAGTGGTGGGTCAGAAAAGTGAGGAAGACGCAGTGAGATGAATGACAGGAGAGCCCAGCAATGCCCGGAGCCACACCAGTGGGCAGGAAGCGGACGCCGGGACAGTAAGGCTGCTTCCTGTCCAACACGGGGTCACCATGTGCTAGAGCCGCCTTCATGGTCACTAACCGTAACAGCAAAGGACAGGCCACTCGACCCTGCGAGCCTCCTCCTTCCATCGGTAAAATGCAGACAATCATTCCACCTGCCTCATGCCGTACACCTCTAGTAATAACCAGTCAATGTATCTTTAAAAACCAGGTGTATGACAGCGTTCACAGCACGCTCTGTACCGTGAAGAGAGTCACTGTTTTTGTAAACTTTCCCATCAGCTCTTGGAAGCTTTTAATGTAGGCTGTGGGACAAAGGTGCTGCTTTGGGGAACAAGTCTGCCCCAATTCAGGTTCAGCACACTGTCCCCTAGCCAAGCAAAACCCACTGCTACCAAGCAGATTCTGACTCACAACAATCCTACAAAGGTGTAAATGCCCCGTGGTACAAGGTGTTAAAGAGAGTCCCGGACGAGACTCAAGCAATAAGCTCTGGTGGCCTGGTGGCAAGAAGCTGTGTTGCAACCCTGAAGCCACGCGGTTCGAGGCCGTCAGCTGCTGCACGGGAGAAGGATGTAAAGTCTCCTCCCGTGTGATTAACTGTCTCTGAAAGCCCACCAGAGAAACAGCTATGAGTCGATTGCAACTCTACACAGCAACAACAACAATGGCTTAGTGGTTAGAATTTGCGCTGCCAACGCAAAGGCACGTGGTTCAAATACACCAGGTGCTCTGTGGTTGAATACAGGCAGCCTCCTCCCTCCCGTGACTCTAAAAACTCCCTGGAGGGGCAGGTAGGGGTCAGTTCCGACTTGACAGTACTCAACAACAACTACAGCGTGTGTTATGTGTGGCACTCCTTAACAAAAGGTAAGAAGCTTGGATCCACCAGTCCCGCTGAGGGAGAAAGAGCACAGATTTACAGCTTCAGAAACACGACAGGAGTTGGTTGCTATGAACTGGAATAGACCCTACAGCAGGGAGTCTAGAATATCCTTGTTAATGTGCAGTCAGTGAAACAGAGGAAGGCCAGCACAAGAGGGATTTCTTCAGTGGCTGAAACATGGTCCTCACACGGTCAAGAGTGATGAGAGAAGGGCACAGTGCTGGGCAAGGCTTCAGTCTGTCCTGCAGAGTGGTTGTGAGTCCAGGCAACCCGGTGGCGCCTCACAATACCAATCTCTACGGAGGCAGACACACAGCCAGAATGCTTCCAAGAAGGTGGCTCTCACCATCGACCTTCTGGTTAAAGGTAAATGTTTTAACCACAGAGCCACTGAGCTTCCTTCCCCCACAGGCAGCACCCTGTGGAGAACTTCAGGGAGAAACCGCACTGGGTGGGGTGAGAGTTCAGCTGCACAGCGTCCCATAGGTCTCCGGGACATACAAGCCCCCCACCCCCCACCCCGACTTCCCTTCTACCTCTCCTCTGACCCAGAGACGGCAGCAATTGGCTCAAGTGTGGCAGAGACGATGTGATGGCACGGCAGAGGGCAGGGTTCATGAGGTCGCTTAGAGTCGCGGAAGCCTCAACAGCACCTAACAACCCTCCTCTGACCCACACCCATCCCACCACCCGGCTCCCAGCCTGGAAGAGCTGTAAGGAACCTGAAGGGTTGGGGACCCAACAGGCTCCCAAGGACGCAGGCAAGTGCCACTGGCTGCCCTGTCACCACGGATGCCACTGACAGGACTGATTGCCACAGACGGACCCCCTTCAAAGGGCAGATGAACTGACCCAGGGAAGACCCTTGCCTAATGCCCACTGGCCATCTCCGAGGACGCTATGAGAGGCACTGTCCAGTGCCTGAGCAACAGCCACAAACCTGGTCTTTTCCAGAAAACTCCATCTAGGCCCACAACAAGCCTGTGGTCCTGGCAGCAGAGAGAAGTGTGGTCCGGGGCTGATCACTCAGGCTCCAGCCCGGCTCGGCCATTTACTGTCTGAGATTGGGACATGGCTCTTTGTCCAACAGGACAAGAAGGGCTTCTACTTCACAGCTTCAAGGGAGCTCTGGTGGCTTGGTGGTAAGGACTTGTGCTGCCAACTCAAAGGTACATGGTTCGTATCCACCAGCTGCTCAACAGGAAAAAGACGCTCCATCTCCTCCTGGTGGATTTTACAATCTGTGAAAACCCACTGGAGGCTCAGCTATGAGTCAGTTCTGCCAACTGGACGGTGCCCAACAAGTGGAGGCCTGGTCAGAGGGAACAAAGAGGCTAACCCAAAGGCTGTGCCCTCTGCCAGCTGGAATCCACCCGTGGCTCCTGGATGATCAACCTCCTCCAGTGTGACAGCATCGGAAATCTGCCAGAGGGTCAGCTGTGAGTAGGTTTCTGACTCAACAACTGAGTTTTGCGTTTTCACAGTTGCCATGAATGAACTGAGTGACACATGAGAAGTGTGGGGCCGGGTGAGCACATGAGCATGCGTGGCACGTCGCAAGCGCTCAGGACGCTCAGCTCTTATCTGGGGCAGGGGAGGCAGGCGGGAGACACAGCGCAGCTGGAAACCAGCCTTTGTAGCAGCAGAGGACTATTAGCCACAAATTGCCAGCAATACTCCGACAGCTCCTACCGGCTGCATTTGCAAGACACGCTTCAAAGGACTGTCAATGGGTACGCTTCAGTCAAGCCCCAAAGTGCCAGTCCCAGAATGCTCACCGCGTAGGTAAGGAAGCCGGCACTCAGAGAGGTTCAGTAACTTGCGCAGGAACACACAGCCCAGGAACTGGAAACAGGAGTCCTGGCTTGGAGTTTTCCCGAGTTGCCTACCCTCTTCGTCCGTCTCCAGCAGGGAGCCCGCCCCAGAGCCACGGAGTTTAGCCAAGAAAAGTTTCCCCAGCTTTCCGCTGGCCAACAAGGGCAGCAGCTGGACCACATGCGCCGCTGACACACCCGTGCGCACACACGCGGCACACGCGCACCCAGGAGGCCCAAACACGGTGCCTGGAGGCGAAGCCGAGCAGTCCACACGCCCAGGCCGCCTCTGTCAGCCTTCAGCTGCAGAGACCTGTCTTCCCAGAGAGTCCTGGGCAGCGCAACACCCAGACCAGCCCCAAGTCAAGTCCCTCCTCAGTCCCCTCTCCTCTCCAGATGGGTGGCCCTGGCCCAGCCGTCCCGCCCCTAGGGGACACCGGTAAAAGCGCAGTGTCTGGACCGGGCCGGGCGCACAGGCGGCGCTCGGAGAGGTGGCCACGACCAGGAAGGTGGCCGTGCCGGGGGAGGTGCCCGTGCTGGGTTCGTGCGCTCACCGGGGTGCCGGCACGCCGCAAGCGCCCAGCACCGGATGCGGCGGGAGGGGTGGCGGCCTCGGCCGGCCGCGGGGCAACGCCTCGCCCTCTTACCTTCCTCATTCTCGTCAAACACTGGGGGCTTGTGGGAGTGGTTCGCGCCCATATTCCGCCGCGGCCGCGCCGCTGTCGCCCCTGCTACATGCCCGGCCGCTGTCGCCGCGTGCGCCCGGCCACGGGCTGCGGGCTACGAACAACGGAGCAGAGCTGCGGGCGCACGGAGCCTGCCGGGCAAGGCGCGCTGCGCAGGGACGGGGGCGTGTCCGCTGCGCCCCCTCCT